TTGAGAGAGAGCACACATGAGTGGGGGTGAGGGGAAGAGGGAGACAGAGAGAAAGAATCTTAGCCCCATGTGGGGCTTGATCCCACGACACTGGGATCATGACCTGAGCTGAAATCAAGAGCTGGACACTCAACTGACTGAGCCCACTCAGGCACCCTGGCTTTCTCATACTTTAGCAGCACTGAGTATTATCATTTATTTTATCTTATTATTTCTTTAAACATTTTTTAAAAGTTTATTTTATTTTTGAGAGAGTGAGCGAGTACAAGTTGGGGAGGGGCAGAGAGAGAGGGAGACACAGAATCCGAAGCAGGCTCCGGGCTCTGAGCTGTCAGCACAGAACCTGACACGGGGCTCGAACCCACAAACTGTGAGATCATGACCTGAGCCAAAGTTGGATGCTTAACAGACTGAGCCACCCGGGCTCCCACATTATCATTTCTTTTACAGTTTTCTAATCTGATTAGCAGAAAGTTATATCTCATTGTTATTCTAATTTTTAATGATATTTTTTCCCTTCCTTGGATTAAGAAAGAAATCTGTATTTGCTGTAGAAAATTTGGAAAATACAGGTATGCACAAAAAAAGAAAATATAAATCGATTTTTCTATAGCCATGTACTTACAAAAATAAAAGCAGAGTCATCTTAATTTGTAGTCATGCTTTTGACTTACTAATCCTAATTTGTCCTCATATTATGATACGTTGTCCTATGACCTCATCGTTAGTGGTAACATGATACTCCATTGTGTGGATATATTTTTATTTTATTTTGGGAGGAATTTTATTTTATTTTATTTTATTTTATTTTATTTTATTTTATTTTATTTTAGAGAGAGAGTGCGCGTTGAGTGGGGGAGAGAGAGAGGGAATCCTAAGCAGGTTCCATGCTCAGCGTGGGGCCCGATGCAGGGCTTGATCCCACGACACTAGGATCATGACCTGAGCCTAAATCAAGAGTTGGACGCTCAACTGACTGAGCCTTCCAGGTGCCCATTGTGTGGATATATGATCATACCCTACTGATGGGCATTTAGGTTCTTTTGGGTTAAAATTTTCATTAACAGGCTTCCCTTTTGATCATGACCCCATTTAACCGTGTTCCCACTGTGTTATCTGCTCAGCAATCTGTTTTTTTTTTTGGGGGAGGAAAGAAGAAAGGTAAAGTTTAATCCTTTTCTGGTTAAATAATTACTAATTCCAAATCGGTGAATACAGACTCGCAGAGATTTTCTAGCACTTTCTATCTTTTTTTTTTTCTTTCCATGGGTCAGAGGAAGAGCTAAAGGGTCACTTTGCGGTTCTCATTAGATTTCTCCACAGCTTTCAACTCGAGGGAAGATGATAGAGGGACAAAAGCACCAGGGAGGACTGATGTTTGTGAGTGATGAGAACACGGAAGCAGAGCAGGCAGGTGTCTGAAGAAATCATCCAAGAAATAGCAGCTTAAGAGAGAAAATCGGAAAGAATGAACTGGTCTGGGCGTTGAGGAATCCTGAATCCTGTTAGCTGTGTGTCCTCGGGCAGCTTGCCCAGCCTTTCTGGTTCTCCACTCTTCCTCCTCATCTCAGGTGGATTTCTTTGTTCTCTCATGTCTTCAGAGGCTGTATGAATACAGACTTTGTCATGCCTGCCCTGTGATCCGGACAAGTTGCTTAACTTCTCTGAGACTTGGTTTTCTCATCTGTAAAGTGGGGACACGAAGAGCTACTTCACAGAGTTGCTGTGAATGGATGTTTGGCAGGTACTTATCACAGGGCCTGTCCCATACCGAGTATCCAATAAATGAAAGCTATTTTTATTGCTTCTCGCACGCCGATTGTTATATAAGAGGAGAGTAATTATATCATCCCACGCTGTGCGTATGGAAAGCAATGCTGTCTTCTCTAAAGTGGTTTTTGAGGTCCAGCCTGCAGCTGGGACAGACTCCAGGGAGCGCAGTCCAAGGTCACCACTGGCCACTGACCTCCGTTTTCAGCTCATTCTTCCTCGGCGCTTGGGTGCTGTCCAAATGTGCACCAAGTTAACACGCAGCTGTTTAACACAGATGAATAGGATGCCAGGAATGTTGGTCGACAGGGGAAGCCATAGGACGCTCCACTTTCTAAATATAAAATACCCAGGAGTGTAACCGAAGGGGACCTGAGTATTAGACGATATGAATCACCAATGTGGGAGTGCTATTCAGAAGACGTTGACATGCTTTCAAGTTGTGATTAATGAGCACGGAGACGGGGGAGAGAGGTTGTGGGTGTTGCTGAAATTTTGCTCTTTGCTGCTGTGCGCTCTTGGACAAATCACCCTCTTCTGTAAAGCCAGCAGGCCGGATTCTATTTTTGTCCCCCAACGGATGGGCTTTGTATGACTGGTGGCCTGCAAAGTGATGTTATATGGTACAGACACAGACACTTGGTATTTTATCTTATTTTTTTATTTTTAATTTTTTTAATGTTTATTTTTGAGGGAGAGAGAGAAAGAGAGAGCACAAGCAGGGGAGGGGCAGAGAGGGAGAGGGAGACGCAGAATCCGAAGCAGGCTC